TGTTTTTTTCATACGTCAAAATCAACTGGTACGAAAACACTATCATTATTGAAGTGGGACTGCTAGAATCTATAAAATCAGCTCAAACTGTTCTAACTGGTCCGCAGGATTTTGTATGGTGGCATATCTACTGGTAACAATTCTATCGAGTGTGAAAGCTTCAAAATCCGTTCCAGAACTTCGATCAAGGAACTGAGACCGAAAATTGGTCAGAATAACCTTAAAAACAATTGCAGCAAAAATTTTCGCAAAATAATTTTCGCATTTCCGCAATCTGCATTTCCGCCTCTTTATGTGTGGAAGATTGATGCTTTGAAGTGTCATACTTCGAAACAACGATATCATATCCTTCGTGAGCTTTTGTTTGTTTCTGTCTGAAGCGCTTCGCTTCTAGCAAAGTGTTTGTTTCTTTTCATACATAAACATTTTCGCTTTCAAAGAACGTTGACAGACTCACTTCAAAGTGCGACCAAAACTTCAATGGCTCACTCCTTTTTAGTAGAAAAAGTCGCTTAAAGACAAAGGAAGCAAATATCAAGTTTCAGTACAGTAAAAAACGTGCTTACCGTATGAATCGGGAATAGGAGGAATGACATGATATTTCTTTTTTTCTATTTCAGATCAGCGATGCTGCTTGCAAGCTCAAAAATAATTTATTCCATGACCAGTTTCCCGAAAGCCTCTGTCCGAATCATGGTGAGACTTTTGCTCCATTCACGGAGAACTTTGTTATACGTCATGTTATAGAACACATGCTCATTAATTTCCGCCTTGGATGTTTTGAGGATAGCAAAAAGGATCGAGCATTGAATGGATTTGCCTACGACTTCAAAACGGATAACTCGGTGGAAAGATGTCGATCGCAATGCTATAGAGCCGGGTTTATCTATTATGGTAAGTGCTTAACAAACAATTTTTTTCTTCTCAAGTATTCAGCAATACGCAAGACTTTCATCAAAAAGTGTTTTTTCGAAATTGGGCCATCAGCACTTAATCTCCTTACGGCAGCGCTGTTCAGCAGTGGGGACCAGTTCTCGCGTAACAACAGCAACTGCTGGTATCATACGACGTCGAGTAGATGTAGTCGCTCCTCATTACAATGATGTCCTCGGAAAAAATGCGTTCGATTCTTTCTGTGCTCTAGTATTGACACCCTTTCATAAGGGAGGGGCGTAGTTTTGGGCGGGACATGTTTGCAATAAATTCAGATTTGCATGTTCATGTGGACGAAAACGCGGTGAACAATTCTTGAAGCTCGTTTTTTGCGCGGGACAAAAATTGGGATCTTCTGGAATTTCATCCAAATAAATTTTTGCAGTTGATGAACAAACTACTTTAGGTTTGGAGTTTGGACGCGAGTGTTTCTGCGGCGATACATTGTCCAAGCCAAAACTTGACGATTTGAAATGTACGGAATATCGATGTTCTGGAAATTCGTCCCAGTTC